GTAATGTTAGAGGCTGAGTGTCAATCTCCGCATTCCGGATGAGGTAGTTCATGGGTGACAGGACTTTGTTATTCGGCGGTGTTCCTTGTTCCGGAGGTGATAGAATTTGCGATGAGGTTCTGGTAGAGGAATTTGTCCATACAATCGCACCGGATCTCCCTCGTTAAAGACTTTTCCAGCTGTCTGTCGCAGAGCCTCTTTTTTCTAGAATATGCTTTTGCAGTCGCCTGTGCGCGGCGTTAAACACTTTTCTGAGGTTTCCCCTTAGTCGAAAGACATACTAGAGCGCCCTACTCACTGGCGATTCCTTACGAGGAAGAGGAATGTCGGAAGGAACACCCATTTCACGATCCGTGAGCACCTTGAAAGGTGACACTCCAGTCGAGGTGTAGGCGGAGGCTCGGTAGGCAATGAGAGCCTGTCCTAGGTGAAGGATCAATCCGTGGGATGGACTCCTTTGGTAAAGGCCTTCAATAAGCCCCTAAGAGTAAGATTTGTTCTTTCTACTTGCCCATTAGCCTGGGAGTGACCTGGCATCATACGCGTTTCATGGATTCCAAAGGCTTTCTCAGCTCTTTGAAGAGACGACTTTCAAAGTTTGAGCCTTGGTCACTATGTGCAGAATCAGGCACACCATATTGGCAACTCCAGCAAATTAAGAATATGGCTACTACTGTCTCAGCATCCTGTGCCTGTAACGGTTCAACTTCCGATTTCAAGTTCTTAGTGAAACAGTCTACCACCACCAAAATACAACGATTTCCGCCCGGGGTCGATGGGATCGCCCCTTGGAAACCCGTAGGTATCGGCTGTAGAGGCGCTATCACAGTGCAGTTGGAGTTCTTGAAGATGGTACACACGACGCACGTGCTGCAAGAATCGGAGGTATTCGACGTCAATCAGGGCCACCAATAACTCTCTTTTGGGGTGGCCAAGCTGCTCATGTAACTCTAACAGGGCCGTCTGCGTCAAATAACCTAGTACTACGAGGTGTTTAGGACCTGTCGCATTGTCGTCTTCGTACCACATAACGTCATCTTCCAAAGAGGGTTTCCCAGTTCGGCCATACTTGTTTGGCTCTCTTGCTTACTGAGGTCATCTCCCCGACTGTGGGTTCGTCGTCCTTAGTCTCTCATCCACTAGAACTGTATCGGGATCGGAGCTGTGCGTATTTCACCAGTGATACGTAGTAGGCTCGCCCAATAACAGCGCACCTACTGTGACGTTATCCACGGATGGAGATAGAGGTCTCCATGACAGAGCGTCCGCATTGTCGTGAGAGCTTCCTTTCCTATAATGCACGATAAGTTCATATCGCTGGAGATCTTAGTACCACCTCGCAACAGATCAAGGTGATGATCCGTCCTCACAACGACCTAAACATTTTGTAGATGGCAAACAGTTTCCGTTCTTGCACTCTTCCGTCTCATCATTTTGCTTATACGCGATCACATTCTCTTCCGTCCTTGTCTTTCTGGGATAGAACTTAACTCACCGCCACTTCCCTTGCCTCTGTGTCCAGCCTCGGCATTGAAGTTTGGTGAAGTCAATATTGGTGCTGCGTAGAGAGCGCGCTTCAACTCCTTAAACGCTCCTGTGTATTTGGTTTCCCAACGGAACTCATTCTTTGCCTGTTTCTCGGTCAACATGGATAGAGGACTCGCGATCTTGGTGGAATCTTTCACAAAACGCAGATAATAGTTGGTTCGATTTGTAGATGTTGACCAAGCCCTCACTTGTCTTGTTCGGTCTTCCATGACCGCCATGTCCCAGGAACGTGATCGAGTTTTGGGAAAAACTGCACTTTCTTGGATTCGGCGTCAGGCCTGCTTCCCGAAGGCAACCCAGTACCAATCGCAGATTGGAGTTATGTTGTTTCATTTCTCGTCCAAAACTGAGAATGTCGTCCAGTGTTTCGGGAATAGGCCGCTGCCTGCATAAGTCGCTGGAAGGTGGTTGCTGCGTTGCCAAGTCCTTAAGGCATAGTTTGGAACTCACAGAGTCCGTTTGGCACAATGAAGATCGTTTTTTTCCTTATTCATCTGCCAGTAGCCGAATTTCAGGTATAAAGTCAAGAACCCCTTGGTTCCTTGCAGAGTCCAACGAGTCAATAATGTGGAGTAAAGGGGACGTATCCTTCTTTGTTACTGCATTTAGCTTCCTGTAATTGAAGTATAGGCGCAGACTGCCGTCAATTTTTTACCTGATGCAATGGAAGAGGCTCAGAGTGATTTGGAGGGCCTGATGACGTTGTCGCGCAGCTTCCCGTCAATAGTAAATTTCGTATTTCACCATGCTCGCTCGTCCCAGTTTCACACCTTCCGGGAGAACATTTGCAAATAACTCCTCAGGAGCGAGTGCAGTTCCTTCCTCTCATCCTCAGTAACCTGTTTTAGTTGGTCCCGAGAACGGCAAGGGTAGCGAAAAGGAATTTGCATATGTCGTCTGCACTTTTCCTTGTTAAGGGTTGGACGCTTCTTCTTGGGCCTTCGGTAGGTTGTGAACATGTCTGTAGTCACTTAGGACTGGTTTGAAAAGCCGACTCCTAATAGTACGTACCAGGCAAGTTCTGGACATAGCATGAAACTCACATTCTTATTTCCCTTCCCGATTAAGACACTGATAGAGGCTTCTTCTACTACGTAGTAGCGTAGTATAACAGTCGGCGGAGCGATAGGAATCTTGTTACAAACCATCAGGAAGGCTTCTGGGTTTAGTAACGAACGGCCTGTCCCGCATTCCAGAAGGGAATTGCATGTGTGGTTTTCTTTTGCCCGTACCCGCAAAGACAGAAAATTGTGGATTACTTTGTACAGGAGGACCGCTTGGAAGCCCACACCTTAGTCTGCCGGGAGTAGGGAATTGCAGCTCCTGGCGCTTAGCGACTGCTAGTTCAATAAGGCGACTCAATCTGCTTGTTTTCATCTGCACCAGTTGTTCTACCAGGGCTGGTAGAACGGCTGAAAACCCGTTCGGCTAGCTACTGGAGACGCCCCGCAAAATCTTCGTCACTCTCTTCAGGTTTCTGGAACTGCTGAAGCCAAAACTGCTCCTCCTGAAGGTATGTCAGTTTGGCGAAGACCTCGAAGCATTCGTCTGTGCCTGAGGTGAGTGATACCCGCGTCCATTGCTTCAAGGCATAGGTTGTAGGGTGAGGCGCGGAGTAGCAATGGCACTCTCCATGTAGAATCAGAGAGCTCGAGATCCGCCGTTTCGAATAGAAGCCAGTCGCCAAAATCCATGTCTTCGTTAAAGAGGGCATGTCGGCAAGCATTGTCACCAGTTCAAAGCCAGCGTGCCTACCCTCAGGCCCCTGGAAACTCGGACTTCAAGAGAGGTTTGGTTGCAGAAGTTTTAGTCAGCACCATGTACAGAAAGGCTGTGGGAAAGGAAGTCCTCACACTCCTCATGCACTAGATTCATGTTCAAATCAATTTTCCGCCTCTCCCCTATAAAGTCAAATTTACACATCCTTCTTTGCACCTCACCTTTAAAAGCAAAGCCTAACTAGCAGCGTCTCGAAGAGGTATTAAGTTAGAATGAATACGTGTAGTGAAGTGGAAAAATGATATTGGGCTATGGCTTGCGCCAAAGGCTAGCTTACGCAAGCAGGAGCAAGAAAAATGCCGAAAAGACTACCATTCATAAAGGTGGTCAAAAAAACAAGGTACCAAATCACGTCTTTGGCGTTCCCATCGCTACACCTCTTGCGTCAACCTTCACAACATATTTGATACTAGAACTAAACACCCGCAGGCCAACCTAATCATTCATTAACTATCATGGAAATGAGAGCTGTACCTGGCTGTCTCAGCAACTTCAGTCTGATCCGGTCTGCAAGCAGGAATAATAGAAGAATTTCTGTTGCTCATAAATTGTGACTATGACTAGACGTTAGTACACTTGTCTAAAACCTGCTAACCACTAAAAATAGGACCACAGTCCTGTGTGTGAGACCTAGGGCAGTGCCATTGCCGAAATCTATACGAGGATATGGTAACGAAACTTTTCCACCCGGTTCATGACAGTGCCGATTCATTTGTTAACAGCTTGCCAGTTGAGTATGAGAATGACGTAGAGCCAAACACAGACGTCTTTCTTAGCCCGTTTGTCGTGACGAGGTCGGAGAATCTCCTGCACGAAGTATGCGCACTTCCTTCGCACCGTCACAGACAGTAGGTACTAGGATAGTCGTATTAAAGTTAGATCCACTTTCTGCTGCCACCAGTATAGCACTTCTAGAATCTTCACTAGGATAAAGGCGTTAAGTAAGCATAAATACGTGTGTTCAAGTTTTGATTGCGTCCTCGACCAAAGACCATCACGCGTGCACACGAGAAAAGCAGCCCTTCTTTTCCTTTAAAACCTACCGAAATCAGTGTGTAAGAGGTTATAAAAACTTGCTAATAGTAAACTCTGACATGCTTCAAAGAATAAAATGAGAAGCTCTCACCAACCACAAGTTCCTAATAGTTGGATGATATCGCCTGACGGCTTGCCGAATGGCGCAATACAGTCTACCTTTTCAGTATCATTGAATGCTTGCGATAGAGCAACAGGAGCTCAACCGCGCCACTCCCCGATACATCAACAACATGCAGCAGCTAACATCTTATTGAAGCGCATATCTTTCAATAATCTTCTGGTTTGTCAGCACAGCGTAGCACAGAGGCCATACTGCGCTCCATTTGCCTTGGCCATGTCAAAGTGGATTTTATGTTTTATTGTCCCATATCTCACCGAAACGGCTCCGTCAAACTCACCAGCATAGATGAAAATCAGACAATATTCGCAACGAACAAACCTCAACTACTTGATTAAGTGATTTGAGCTCACAAACAATTATTTGACAATAAATAAAGACTAAGCATGCTCCATGGAGTAGCAAATTAACGCAAAAGTTCGTCAAAATTATGCAGAAGTTATAGTTTAAGTAAGCCAAATATGTAGTGTGCGATGTAAAGGACATTTGTGAGATGTTTATCCGTTGATGTGAGCATTTAAAATACACCCAATTTGTTCAAAATCAGAATGAGCAGACACGAAGCAGCCCATAAGGCTACAACAACGAGCCAAATGGGATGCAGGAAGGGTGACTGATATCGATTGACTGCACAATGTCTCTCTTGGTCGATTGCCACAGGTTCCTCACGAGAGGGCTCTGATTTGAACTTAGCTTCCAGTGCTCTCCTCGCATAAAATACAAGCACCACTGGGAAGACGTACATTAGAAAAAGTCCTCCAAACGCCCCAGTTATGCTCACCAATTGTCCCACATCATTCACAAACAAAGCTATCAAAATCGGCGGAATCAAAGCCAGAAACGGCACGCACCATCTGATAACCAAAACGATGTTTCGACCAGGAGGTAGGAACTCAAGGAAAATTGCAATTAAATTGTTTGCCAATGTTGTTCCCAGGATTGGAAAATTGGATGAGAGCGCGAAGGCGGGATAAAGGGCGAGGAAGTACTCTAACAGCAGTAGAAACCATCCAGGCCGCAGGTTAGGATCATCAGAAGGCACGAAGTTGAGCGTGTAGAGGTCGTGTATGTAGTCGAAGGCGGTAATAGCGGTGCCCGAAAGGAGGAGGTAGCAAAAGTAGATGAGGAGATATACGGGTAGAATGATAGAGGAGAAGAGCCGCTGCTTCTTGTCAATAGGTGTGATAACACCAGGAAGGGAGTGATGGCACATAAAAGCATAGACACAAACACCAAAGGCTTTGGGAAGGTTGGAGAAATTGGCAATTGGTGGATGGGGTCGATCAGAAGAACCGAGAAGGCTCATGTAAGCAGGCATTTGGCATCGCCTCAATCGAGGCACCTCGGGAAATTCTATTATTCGAGCGATCGCTATTGAGGACATTAGGAGCACTGAGGTCCAACGGGCAATTATGGTGCTTGCTTGAAGCCACCGTGTCTTCGTAACATTGCAAAAGAAAAGTGGACCCAAAATGCATGCAAATATGGCCTAAAACCGGAACGGCATCCAAGATTCGATAATATCAAAACAAGAAATTCTTCAAGATGTCAAATTTTGACTACGGCTATGACATACAAGATAGATCTTGTAGACAGTCGTTCTGGAAATTCCTCTAGATAACCAACATGGGCTGGTGTCGTTCAGGATCCCAAGCGAGCCATTGCTGAAAGTGACAAATAGGACGATCTAAGATAACTGCCACATAAAACAAAATATGATCCGAGAAAAAAACACATAACTCTTACAAAAAGAAGAGATGATGAAGCATAAAAAAATTTAGAATGAAAGTTAACTTAATGTGCCAGCCGCTGCATTGAGAAGCTCGTGCAAAATATCAAAACCAAATATCCTGAATTGAAACAAGCACAACTTAATGAGACCAAGGAAGTCCTCGAATGCACGATTCGCAAGTAAGCACTAACCCACGTGTAATGCTTTTGACACCAACATGATTGTAATCTGAAGTTCGATATTTACATTCACGGAAAACTTAAATAATTGAAGTTAACTA